ATAATATTTCGAGTGTGCAAGTCTACAGCACAAGTATATAGATTTCGTAATAATTAAATAGAAATTATTACATTAAATGTACATACAGATTAACATAACATTCGCTTGTTTGATACAACGACCAAAAGATAAAAATGAACCAAACAATCTAAAGCTAACATGTCATAGAGAAGACGATGGAACAAATTTGAAATCTACATAATATTTCTGAGTGTGGATTAAGTCTACAGACTGTACTGTCTACTAATTACTAGTATATATTTGGTATTAAATAGAAACAAAATGTACATACAGATTTACATTACAATCGCTTGATGGATTGTGTTCTTCTTTCCTAGATCAAAATTTAATCTATAGCTGGAATTGCCCATTACTGTTCTATACTCCATAAGATGCGTGCGTGTACTATTATACTTACTTGCGTAGTGGGAACCGCCTTGTAGAACTTCCAACCTCCATTTTTGCTGCTAGTTGCGGCACATTCCGAACAGTTTTCCATTTTTTTGAAACGTTCGCAGTTTGGTAGATTGTCATTGGTGGTGCGATATTTAAATCCAATACATGTTTCCAATTTGAGACCCAGTTGACCTGCACAATGTGTCAATGACTCGACGTGATGTGTGGACAAAACGTCTGTTGAGTAACAGTATCCTATACAAAAAATAGAATAAATTAACAAAAGTTTATTTGCCGAAAGAAAAAAGTGTAAAGCATAAAATAATTTAAGCTACAGTCTGCACATTTTGAAAATGGTGGCCCAAGAAGATGAGTAATCTTAAAAAGTTGATTTTTAAAAAAAATCTTAAAGTCCATAAAAAGATGATTTTTTCACAAAAGTCGACCGTTGTAAATTAAAAATTACGCAGTGAAAGAAAAACAAATGCCTTTGTATAGCTTTTAAGAAAGAAAATCACTCATCAAGCGTATATTACTAAATTTTAACAGGTAAATTAAACGACATTTGTTTACAACGTAATTGCTACCAGTTCAAAGTCAAAGAATTGGATCCTGAATCTCAACTTTTGTGCGGCGCTACAGTACGTAGATTCATGGTTGTCAGGGGTAAGAAAGCTGGAAACAAGAGGTCTAAGTGTGCGTATTAATTTTTGCGGTAACCATTGAGTATTTTGATAAAATGCGATACAATGGTCATAATTCAGTTAAACTGATACTTCAGTATACGTTCCGACTAATTCCTGCAGGGGATGGCATAAATATTAGTTGAAAAGAAGAATTAAAAGTATGAACTGTTTGGGGGGTTTTCAGAGTGTAACTTTAGATTCGTTCAATTCCGATGAATGGAACGCGTTGGGTTCACACTGCTAAAAGATGGCCTCCACAATGCAGAAAATGCCGTTTCAGAAACCCAAATTACACTGGAAAAATTAGTGAAATTCAAAAAATAATGAAATTCACTAAATCCATAGTATATCCATACTATTTCCATACTCCATTGTATGGAAATTGCAATTAGTATGAAAATTATTATTTTTTTTATTTTTATTTTTGACTGCTATTTCCATATTAAGGATTTCGAAAGTTTCAGTGGCAGTGTTAAAGGTGTCGCATCATGGATAAAGAAATTCTGTTGTTTGATTCGAAAGAACAGCGCAGGCTTGTACGAGTTTCTAATAATATAGTGAACAACCTGGGCCTCTAGGGAGTTTGGAAGTGACATGGAGAGTTATGCTGCAACGATTTATTTTTTGTTAAACAGTGATGGTACATACGTGGCGTTTTCAAGTGCCATTTTTTTCACATTTATTCAACCGTATAATTGAACAACTAGTTACAAAAAATATATTCACTTACCTTTGACTTGCGTGAACAATTCTTGTCGGCACTTACAATCCGCTGGAGAAATTCCAAAACGATCAGAATTCCAAATAAAGATAAAACAGAGCAATTTAAACAGAAACATTTTGTTCAGGGCATGTTCACGATGAACCATTTTCATCATCGCCATTCCTGTTGCTTGCGTGTTTGGTCTGTTAGTTGTTTGTGCATTTATAGACATTGACAACCTTTCAGAAAAATGTCAAAACCTGTTGATTTTAATAATTAATAATGCTTAAATAACATAATTATACTAAAAGGCATTGTCTCAATGGCAGACATGGCGCGAAGTGCATGCATTCTTACGAATATCGATTATAAACTTTATAGAAGACGTATTAAGATGGTATCTGATCCTCACAAAATCCCCTTTATACAAGAATCGCAAAAACAAAAATTTATGCTATATATATGAACAAATCCACGTGACGCGTAACTATTCCGCGAGAATATGAACGAATGACATGAATTAAAAATTAATGTTACCCTGGTTCCAGAGGTTCTTTGCGAGGCGAAAGAAACGAGAGGCGAGAAGGAAAAGCCTCTGGTCACATTGGTTGCAAATCAAGTGTGGAAGTGGGATTTGCAACCGATGTGACCAGAGGCATTTCTTTCTCGCCTTTCGTTTCTTTCGCCTCGCAAAGAGCCTCTGGAACCAGGGTAAATTAATGTCAGAAATTACCCTTAAAATTAATACAAAGGCGCGTACTGCTTCGTGTGCTCCCTTAATTGAATACATTAATACAATGTTTCTTGTCATTTTAAGTGCTAGCGTTAAAATTGACTAAAATGTATGATATTAGAATAAGTTTAGGAAATTACACGTTTGAGAATTATTAACGAAAAAATTCACTTGTGTTTTTGCGAAATATTTGTAATACTATATTCATAAATATTCGTATCAAATATATTTCGCCAAACGCGCATGCGTGCGATTTTTCATAAATAGCTACTTCTCCAACTGTGTAATTTTCTGTGGCAAACCGTTACATATCACAAAAACGAGAAAATCTAGTACTTATTCTATTGTAACTTTTGCTTAAAACGTGTACTCAGTCTAATGCAAGACATTTCAATTTATTTTGCGGCATGCGGAGTGCAGGTGGATTCCATTTCAAACCATTAGCGAATACGTGCTAATATACCTGTTCAGTAAAAAGGAGTTCAATTAACAGTGTTTGTTTTAAATGAGGGAAAGATTTCAAGTTACTATATGTAATATGAAATATTCTGACTGTCTTAAGCCGAAATGCAATGCAAAGCGTCAAATCCACCCAAATCGACATGGGATTTTAACGAAAGACAGTTTAACAGCTCCCATGAGCCACCCCACTCCCTCCCTCTCTACATTATACCTGTGCTGCAATGGTGAACAAATATTTGTTTATATTCCTCAACTTCGATTTAACTGAAAACTAAAATATGACTGTTCATATGCACATGTGTGGAAACCCCGCACCCCATTCAATGTTGACTTTGATCATCATTAGTATTTCACGAAGTTTTACCTTAACCAATGTATTAGCGTTTCAACGTTGAAAGGGGAGAGGAGGAAGCTGCAAAATGCTGTTTTTCTAAAGAATATGATTGGGCAAAGCATCTATTTTCATTTGCACGCCACTGTTGAACATGCGCTGTCCAAAATAATTTCTGCCACCATTGTAGCTTTTCTCAGTCAAAAACATCAAAATTTTATACACTAGTGACTAATAATATCATATTTAACTGGAGGGCACTCAAAGACTGCATAAATTATATGTATCATGCATGAATTATACAATGGTCTTAGACAAATTTTTGCTAATTTTTCATCCAATTTTCATCCAAATTTAACCACATTTTAATCAATTTTTCCTTGGACAATGTCCATTAGTCTCTTAAAATTTTGTATGAATATATATATATATATATATATATATACGTTTGATATTTTAATGTACGTTATCGTGCCGACTGAGAAACACACACATCAGATATACATAGAAACACCTTGGAAATGGCGGAGGTAATCATGTATGAATGCAACTAAACTCGCATTTTAATTAATCAAGTCTAGTTTTATATACACATGCGCAATTTAGTGTAAATTATCCCTGTATATAATGAACAAAGATAGTTATTAAATTAAACAAAAAATACACAGTATACGTTGTAAAATTTAACATATGCAGCTTGAGGGAAAACTTGGCATTGCACAATGCTATCATTCATGCCTCTCAATGTTACATGTTCATTTTACAATGTTTGGTTATACTGGATTTTGACTTTGAATAAATTATAATTAAGCTAAAATACTGTTAAAACAGCAAAAACTATAGTTATGGAAACTATAGTTATTAAAACTATAGTTATTAAAATGAAGACTCGTGAGTTAGCTATGCTAAAATGGTTTTGTAATACCTTTTTAAATAAAGTCAATTATTGTTATTATTATTATTATTATTGTTATTACTACGCAAGTTTCTAATACGAGCGGTGTTAAATGTGCGTGTGGCAAACATTGTCATGTGTCTAAGAGGTTGTCCAAGAGGGTTGAAAATGCATGAACGATCATGCCGTTTCATTGCTGGGCTTAATGAAGAAATATAGCTAGAATGGATGACGAGAGAAGCGAGGAAGGGGAAATTGATATGGGTGAATCTATGCCACCTGAACATTCGGAACTTAAACCAGGTATAAAACTGCCAAAATCAGATAGTGAATGGGCAAATTCTGATCTATTTTTCAGGGCGAAACTGGCTATGGACTGCATGAACGACTTTAATATTAACGATGTAATTTATGTACTATTTAAAAAACGAGCAGGAGTGTTTTATTAGGTTTAAAGCCCGAGCGCGCAGCGCGAGTGGCTTAAAGCCTGTTTTCCACTGGCGAATTTCTTCGCGCGAAGCGAACTTTCTATTGTTTAAATTGAAAAGAATTGATTAAAAATCTAATTAGTTTCAGCCGAG